GGCCACTGATGGATCCAACTCCAGGCTCAGCGCTCGGCCTTGGGCTGTTCTCCCCCTGACTCCCCCACTGCTGCCTGGACGTCCAGCTAACTGGTGCCTCCTCGACACTTTGATTAATAAAGAGCCTGCGAGCGAGCTCTGTGCAGTCCCCTCTCTCGAAGCAGCTCAGGTCTCCCCTCTTGTCCGGGCTCGGGGACCAGGAGTCTCTGGTGTACCGCGGGAGCTGGCGGCGATGCAGGGTGGGGGTATCTGGTGCTCGGAGTTCTGCTTGGAATAACCTGGGGTCCCTCATCGGAGAGCTGAGCTCGGTGGGAGGATGAGAAGGTCGGAGAACACGTGAGGGAATGCCGGGGGAACTCTGAGCTGCTGATAAAATTGAGCTCTGATGCTGGGATTTCTGAATGCAGCCCTCGTCGTGTGATTCATTATTATTATGGGAGTTTGTTTCAAGTGACTGTGACTGCAAGATCGAGTTTTCAGGCTGGTGAGAGTCTGTGTTGTCAGTTGCTGCCGTGTGTTGGTCATTTAAAGGGATGTTCATCTTAAGCGTTTGCTTAGACTGTTGTGCATTTGAAGTTGAATTGTGAAATTCTCCAGAGTTCGAGCCGCTTGCAGGCTCACCTAAAGCGTTGTGCAATGAGGACCTTCTTGCCTCTGTGAAAATAGAAGATACTTTGGTAGCCTCCTCTGCTAGCCTGCGGGCTACTTCAGGGCTATGAGCCGGAGAGGAGGATTTACTGTCACTTAACTGGTTCAAGCCCTCAATTACATTATTGCCAAGTTGGACGATTGCTCCCTGCGGTGCAGTGCTCCTGTTACAAGTCCTGTGAACATGTTTTTTGGTGACTGGACTGCCTGTCACACCTCTGTCCTGCCCTGACCAGTGAAGAGGACTCTGGGTCTTGACACAGGACTCGGGCTTCGAGTGAGGAGGCTGTCTGGACTGGGAGGATAGCTGGTCTAACGCAGGGCTCCGAGGCAGCCCACAAACAGCCTGGATCCTATCGGTGATGTGGTCTTTGGGGTTTACGCTGATGTTCTGGCGCTGAACAGGAGACCCAGCCCAGGACTGACAGCGCGGCTGTTGGTTGTAGCGTGAGGATGAGGTGTGCTCAAGTGCATGGGCTAGTTTAATCCTCAGTAGAGGGGAGCCAAACTCCTCCACAGCTCTCTGGGTAGCTGCCCTGCCGATGGGGTCCAAGGCTGGTTGGCGAAGGCCGGGAGAGTACGTCTGCTGGTGACTTCCTGGAGATCGGAAAGTCAGCTTGGGACTGGAGCTGCACGATGAATCGGGACTTCCAAACCAAACTGGGTCGCTGAGCCTTTTACGAAAGTAAGACGGGGTGGATCTTTCCTCTCTGGTACCTCTCTCGCACACAGAGTTGCGCGGACTGTCCACGGTCTTCACATTGGACTTCTCAATGTAACTGAAGGTGACTACAGACCGCTTACCATCGCTGACCTCTTCCTCGTTAAACCTCCGGAAGTTGGGAGGTGTGTGAGGGAGAGCGACCTTTCCGGAGGAGGTCATTGGTGGAGAGTGGACGACGGACACTTCATCACAGGGTGCACTCCAACGCTTGGTGACTGCAGGGGAGCTGCTGGCTTGCTGGAGCTGAAAGCTAACAGTGTTTCTAGAAGGAGACTGGCTGTGTGTGCAGTCCTGAACCAGACGGTGAGCTGTGGAGGTCTTGGTGACGGTCTGGCAGGCCGTCTGGCTTGCTAGCTGAGATAGGAGCTCCGCAGGACTGTCCTGAACCGAATGCCCCTGAGCAATCCCTTCCTCGTTCCCTCCCTTCTGATCTGGGGCAGACCTCACTTCTACATACAAATGAAGGACTTTTCCAGACTGGGACATGACCTCCTCTCAGGCCGTAATGAGGACAGAGAAACAGAAATGGAGCAGGGAGGGAGTCAGACAGGGTAAAAGAGACAAAAACAACTTCTTTTTGTGTCCTTTTATTTGTTGGTTTGTTTTTTTTCTGTTTTTCTGCTGGTGGTGGGTGTCAGTTTATTTTTAGACGGTCTTTCTTCTCCCTCCCGGCGTGTCTGTGTGCAGAGCAGAGACACACAGGCTGAACGGCCAGAGGACAAACATGCCCATGGGACACCTCCAACAGCTCCCTATTCTTCATACCTGTGAATGAAAGAAAGGAGGAGCTGTTATCTTTTTTTATCCTCAAATGACGCAAAATACACACAGGATATTCCAGCATTTGTTGACATATAACGTGTTAGTGTCTTCTCACTGTATCAGAATAAAAACAGGTCACAAAGGATGAGGATTTACTGTATACTTGTGTGCTGGTTTGTCTGTGTTAATCTGCAAGTAGCACCTCCAAAACACTAATTGGAAGTGGAGTTTTGTGCCACTGTGTTGAGTTTCTTTGTACTTCAAAAAATGGCTACTGAAACTGAAACTCTCCCTCGTCTCTTTCCTCAATCTGTCCTGTGTTTTGCTATTTTCCCTCAACGCCTGTAAAACGAAAGGACGAGGGAATACAATGGGACACACAAGAACATGTCATGCAGCGAGGCAGTGGCAGGCTGTTTGAGGGATAAGGGCAAAAAATAAAATTAAAAGCGCACCAGCAGGCAGAAGGTTGTGTTGCATTTATGGTGAAACAGCTTAGTCAGGGTTAGGATTAGCACCCTCGAGGGCACTTTATCACGTTATCTCCACTAGAAGGACACACAAGAGGACACTTTATTGTGTTTTATCTACCATAAAGGCTTCCAAGAGGGCACTTTTTGAACATGATGGCACCATTTTCTTTGTACCAAACTACACTTGCCAACCTGTAGTTGAACTTTAGCTATGTCTGTGGTGCTAGGTGAACTAGCTCAGTGTTTCTTTTCTTTACAGTACTGCATACTTCCTAAAATAATTATACTACAACAAATTCCATAAATACTGTAAATACAAGTTTGATAAGCCATATTTTATATTCAATATTGACATTTTCAAATCGTAATCTGACGTAAAACCAAGTTACAAACACAATCACGTTCACAATGATATGTTGTTTTGTATAATACTGTACCTCTTTATAGACACTAGTTTTGCACTGGTACTGGTATATAGTTACAAATAATCTGAGAACCACTGAGCTCGCAAACGTAGGAAGAAAATGGTTCCTACATGAAACTGCTCACGAGGTAGGTGGATTATCTTGAGTAACTGGTTCGGAAAGAGACGTTGTTGTGGAGTTCTTCAAAGACATTTTTTTGGGCCCTTTAATCACAACAAAGCCGATCTGGTTACATCACAATATGTATTTTGAGTATTTCTCACTATAATATCTGAGCTATTTGGGCTGAAAAAACATGTCCAATATTTGCACGAATAAAATTAATTACTGTTTTAGTTTTGGATGAATACACATACACGTTACTTTACAGCAGGATGGTGTATGTGAGTCTGACTGGGGATATGTTGACAATAATATATATATATCATATCACCAGGCTTATTCATTACCATCTATAACTGGATCTCAAACAGTGGAGTGAAATCCGTAGAGGTCATTTTTCTTTCTCCTGGCAGCCTCTTACTTAATTCTCCAGTAAATACGACACAAACAAACTGAGGCTGTTTGACGTGTTAATTGATTCATATGAAAATAAATAATAGTACTTTAAACCTTTATCTTTAAGCAGAGTAACAGCACTCGCTCTTGCCAAAAACAAAATGCTATAGCTAGCCAAAGTACAGTGGAAGAGAGTAGAGAGCCTCAAAATAGCTGCAAAGCAAAAAAAAAAAACCTCTCTTCAAATTATTGCATCAGGGTTGAACCCAAATCCATTTAATTCACACCTCTTCTGAATGCATGCAGACAGGGATGTACATGCTATAACTTGTTCGACGCCAACTGATTGGATTCTGCCTCATTACAGCAAATTGATGCATTACAAAGGCGCCGCTGTTGCTGTAAACTCAGACCGGTTGGACTCAATTACAAATACATTCACTTTTTCTTCAGTTTGTCAGGTTTGTCGAGATGCTATTGTACGCTATCCCAAAGACACCTTTCAGATAATGTGCTTTCAGGGTTTAACTGTAAATGTACTGAATGACTGCACCTTGGCAGTGCACTTTTCTCTTTTGAAAGAGACTTGCCATCTATTTCTCAGATCAATGCATTCAGCTGCTGACAGTGTGACTCCATGTTGAGGTCAGACAACAGGGACATCTGTTTTTGTTTCATTAATTGAAGATATTTGTTGCTCAAAATTGATCCTGACCGTAGGTTTTGAACCTTTCATTCACTGATGCTGTGAGTTTTGAGTGAGATGACGAAGGAGATGTAGAGAGTCTGATGAAGGTGAATTAAAGTTCAGAGTTGGTTTAGAAAAGACATTTTGGACATCCAGATATTGAAGCCACACGCCCTGGACATCCAAAAATGGGTCTGTGGTGACATGATAATAATCTGCATGTCCATGTGACATTAAGCATTGGACTTTCGGACAAACCACAGTTTTAAATATAAATATAACTTCAGCATACTACTAAGGAAAGCTAAAATATAAGAATTAAACACTGAATACTAATGAAATTCTCTGTCCATGCAAATCATTTTACTTTTAAGTAAATTAAGTTGGTTTGGTCTAGAAATAAATGTTCAAAGGTTTAAATCTAAGTTTATATTTTAATAAGGGGAAAATGCAGTTTTTTAGATAAAAAAGCTGAGATCAGACTTCCTACAGCACAGTAATAACTGAAATACACTGAATGTTAATCAATTATTCTTAAAGGCCAAGGAATAAGAAAACAAATCAACAATTCAAGTGGAAAATTACTCAGTACCACTGCAGCATGATTAGCTTCACTCTATCTAATGTAGCTTTTTTACCAGTAAATTACTCAATTTTAAGATTTCCTGACTAATTGACCTTATTTGAGACTTATTTGTGATCAATTTAAGAATAGATAGAAACTTGTAAATTAGATAATAAATCTCCTATTTTTAAATAAGTTTGAACCTATTATGCCGTCACCACTGGCAACGTACTGCGAGTTGAGCTTCTCTCATTGTTTAGGAAACAATGGGATGTCGTATTCCAGATAAACAGTAAAATATGTTTGTGAACAGATTTGAAGAGAGAAATAGTCAACACAGTAACAGAATCTGGACCCATATCTGATCAGGATGGACTCACTGAGAATGAGCTGTCAATCACAAGGTAGCCCCGCCCCAAAGCATCCCCTGCTTTATGGTCTGTTTGACTCTAAATGGGACCAT